CAAAGCAGTACAACACAGTCGAAGAGCTCAAACTGTCCGTCGTCGACGCTTGGACAAACTTAGACCCAAATTTGATAGCTAGCTTGGTTGAGAGCATGCCAAGACGCATTGGTGAAGTCCTTGCGAATAATTGAGGACCAACCCATCATTAAGAAGTTGTGACATCCACTCTGTTGCAATAAATTTTTCCGTTAAAGAATGTGTAGTCATACTCATGAAAAGATGAGAATACCTTCCAGCGAAATTATTTCAACACTTCCTAAGTGAAATTTTTCCACAAAATCTTTACTAAGGTTATCCGTTATGAGGAATCTATTGGTTATGGCAGGATTTTCCAAAAATGCGCTGCATGCTTGGAACTGGAAAAATTTAGGGTGGCCCTATATTTATGAAACGCAGTGTATTGAGTGGATGATGTTGTTTTCGAAACACCACTTTTTCTTTTCGAACTAGTTGACATCTATGCGAGGTTTTGTGACCTCATGAACGCTATAATTGATCAATTTATTCCTTTGAAACTTATGCCGAGGCGTGAAGCGAACTATCCTCGTCACATAATGAATTTGATCCAGCAACGAGAAAGGCTCTTCCGCATGACCGATAATCCTTTGAATTCAAGCGCTTTTCTTGAAATCAGCAGTAAGCTGGACCATCACTCGAAGCGCTTTCAGACCTACAGGATTAAGAAGTTGGCTCAAAAAGGTAATCACAAACACTTGGGCAGCCTATGCTAACAAGTTCCTCAAGCAGTCGCCAGTCTCACATGTTCTCGACGGCCGCAGCGAAGAAAAGTATTCTGCAGAACAGGAAAAGGCTGAAGTCCTCCGGACTTTTTCAAAAGTGTTTTCGTCCCTTTCTCCGCAAGTACACAAACTCAACCCTCCTTCACAAATAATCATCTGGACTTCCCAACCGTAACTTCGGGATTGGTGCATAAAATTTTGCACTCCTTGAAACCATCGCTTTCTCTAACTCCTGATGGATTACCGCAACTACTTTTCAAAACATTCGCGAAAGGTTCTCCGTCCCTCTCGTTCACATATATAATATGACCTTTCGCCATTGTTATTGCTATCCGTCAGTCCACCGAACCCAGGTTAATTTCAAATTTTCGGCCTATAAGTATTTTGCCTACGTCTCAAAGTTTTGGAGAGAATAGTCAATGACCTTCTGCTAGAATGGCTCTCTCAGCTCCAGTGTATCCCGCTCGAACAGCATGGCTTCCTCCGTTTCTCCTTCACATGTACGCAATTAATTGGCTGTACACATTTCTGGATAGAAGCAATCAACTCCGGGCTAAAAGTCAGCGCCATCTACTTTGGTTTGTGTAAAGCATTTGATACCCTAAACAGATCTAGCCTACCTCTGAAACTAGAGAGCATAGGAGCCCATGGGATGGAACTAGATGGTTCCAAACCTACCTTGCAGACTGGAAACTGAGTGTGCGCTCCTAGAACCTATACCTCAGGAGTTCCCCAGGGAGGCAGCTTGTCCCCTCTTTTATTCCTGACATACAGTTATGAACTTGTGCAATTCTTCCGCAGGAGTAGTTGGCTTCATGTGGCGGCACACGCAGATGACATAAAGGTTTCTGTAGCATTGGATGGAGAGAATAAGGATGAAGCACAAGTACTTCTAAGCACGCCTGGTGTTCTCGCTGGGGACTAGTGGTCAACCGCCAAAGAACCTGCATGCTTTCATGGGGTTTTCAGCTTGACGTATGCTCTCCCGATGGTTGCCATGTAAAGCAAACGGACTATGTCAAAGATCTCGGAGTCAGGATATCCAATGACTTCAAGTGGCGTGTTCACATAAATGACATTTCGAGGAAAGGGCTCAAATTTGTTCACCTTCTGTGTAGGGCTATGCACACTACAGATTCCTCAATATGGATTGAACTTTACAAAATGCATGTTCTCCCTCTGCTGGAACACTTAGTTCTGTGTAGAGCCCCTCCCTCAAGCAAGGCATTCAGAAAATTGACAGAGTTCAGAAACCATTCACCACCCAATGCGGACTATCCGCGAGCGCTGCCCTCATACCAAGCCCGTCTCCAAGTATTGAAGTTGGGAAGCCATCCCTATAGGCGTATTCGACCTGATCTGATTCTAGCGCTTGAAGGCACAGTTCACGATAACTTTAGTAATCCAGATTACGAAGAAAAATGGAAGACAAGATCGAAAATAGTGCGATGGAGGTGAAGAAACTGTGTGAATCGGTGTTTTCAAAGTGGAAAAAAGCTTCGAAAAGCCGTTAGAAAGGAGGCTGGGCGAGAATAAGGCCAGAAAAATGAAGAAGAGTGGGGCGTCTGGATGAGCTATACTGCGTGTCCTGAATAACAGTCTACGGTAAGCAAAAATTCATTCAATTATAAGCATAAGTAAACAAAAAACCCTAGTAACACGTAAAGTAGCTTACCTTTTTCAGCCTCTAGAAGTAGGAAATTAAATGAGGGATCGCGGCAGCAAAAAGAATAACAGAGGAAAAAAGAATCAGAGAAAAACATCGCCTCATCACTCGGCGATCAGCTGATTGTGTTTGGATCCTAGAACGAATAATTGCAGTCTGTATTGTCTCGCATTCCTCTGACGTGACATCGATCGAGGGGTGGAAAACCGAATCAAGACAGCAACAGGGCTTTCACCATGCCCTGTCCGTCGAAATTTTGGAAGCGAGAGGGACTCTTCATCCACCCACGGGGGCCACTGAGTATTCCTAAGGGCAGAACTCAGCAACCATTCTTATCGTGAACCGTGCCCTTAAACTTCTCAAGAGCGAACTCCGTAGCAAATCGTCGAGATACTGGACGTTTCGAGCAACTTCTGGACAAACAGTTCATCTTGTAATCCAACATCTCAAAGTGGGCAAGGGGCGCAGAGAAGTGAGAGCGAATTCTTTCATGGTCCGTACAGCCAAGTGGTTGGAGTTGCTGCCTTCATGGCTCGAGGGACTCAAAAGTTCAAAACAGTTCAAAACGTCTATCAGAAACAAACATAATGAACTTCCTCGGCATAGATGATGTCTCCTAAAACGGTAGTTACTTGTCTGTCATGTATCCTGTTGTACCTCGCCTGGCTTGCCAGTAAAGTGGCTTGGTTTCAAGGCACTACTGCCCTAATCCGACCGGAGTCATAATTAGGTACACATTAATTGGCGCGTTGTTCAGATTATATCCTAGGTGCCTTCCAAGGAGGAGTGTAAGATCTCAAGTCCAGACTAGGGGCATTGCAGCGGCTAGCTTGTGGCACTCATCCAGCCTACCGGCTCCACGGGGATTGTCTGTATACCCGTGTCTCGAAGTTCCGGCCGGCCCCAATGACCCCTTGTGTGGCGATTGCGCACCATTACCGACTGGTGCGGGTCCGAGTAGTCGTTGGCAATTGCTCTCATTGGGGGTCGCACTTTACTTCTCCTCCTAGACTGATTCCTCATCTCTGATATATTCCTTATCGAGCTTTTGCCAATCAACCGCTTGACTGGTAGGCCCCTCCTCCTTCTCTTTCCTCCATCCTCGACTGTGTTCAACCTCCTCCAATCTCAAAAATCTTTTCATACGTCCGGCTAGTTCGGTGCTGTCTCCTACCTTTTCGGCTGTTTTGTTTTGTTTTTGTTTTCTGAGTTTTTTTTTCTTATTAGCTTGCATTTATGTTATGTTACCACTAGCAACTCCCCGCTCCAAAGTATCCTAACTTTTTAGAGCGCGCCTTCGTGCGCAGGTAAATAAATAAATAAAAAGAACATGTAATAATTCTTCGAATGCGATTCGACCCTGTTAGGTGATATTTCTGATAAGCAAGAAACCTTGCGCTGCGACGGCAAGGGGAAGAAAGGGGGAGGGATTGCATTGGTAACCAAAAGTGCACTTTTTCCTGCCCACATAAAAAACTATGCCAATCAACTGAAACTATGCCAATCATATACTATGGTTATGGGTTAATAGCCTGCAATAATCATGGGAACGGAGTTGACTATAGAATTATCTTGTGCTCTCGCGCCCTTAGTTGCTCTTATGAGATTAGTGCACAAATGATCGAATCTATAAGTGATCTTTCGGATTGTCCGCACGTCTTCCTTCTTGTAGGAGACTTCAATTTCCCTGACTCAGATTGACCGCATGTTTAACAATCTGGCTAATCCATATCGAGGGGTTTTGTGAAAATGAAAAAAATTTATCTCGTGCAGTACGTCCGTCAGGATCCAGAGGGTCCAGCATCCTAGGTTTGTTGTTTCGCAATGAACAATTCTTTGTCAATAGGTTGAACGTTGAGGATCTTCGGGGAATTACTAATCATGCTTGCATCAATTTTCAGCACAATTATCTCCGGAACTTAATCATTACACATGGAAGAGGAACTAATCCAAAGCTGATTACAGCCTGATTCGTTCGTATCTTGATAGTACTGATTGGTAGGGTACCTTCGGTGAGGTGGTGACTTTGGAGCAAACAGTATTTGTTGTATCGGCTTCAGCCTCGACGTGCCCAGGAAACGGTCTAAAGACGACTTTTTTTCGATACCTTGCACGAGGAGTTGAAATTAGTTGCTCTTCCTTCTGACTTTATGTAGACTGATAAAAATGGCATCAATACACTAGAAAAGCTTACCCGACTTCCAAGTGGGAAAAATGGCGAAGAGGAAGACAAGTAAATTTGTCTGATGATAACTTTTTTTGTGCGAGTGATTGCTCGAAGTATTCATGCTAGTGATGAGTTCAACAGGAGACAAGCGAAAGTGTGGGCAGGCTACGTTTGGAGCCGTGAAGCACGATTTCAAAAAACAAAAACGGATACTCTGCTCCAAAACACTTTGACTCGAACAGTTCCCACACAATAGAAATGGCTCAGGCTTTGAAGGCAGTGAACAGCGTGACCCTATAGAAATGAATATCAAGAGATTTTCCGATTCATAGAGATTGATTGAAGCTGAATTCTCCGCACCAATATATAACCTTTTATCATACAGTCACAATAAAGGCACAATGACAGCCAGAACTTGAACATCAAAAATAGTACAGAAAGAGACTGAGAAAGCAGTATATATGTATCCCACTGAAGCGGAGTAACAGTAGAAATTAAATTAATTAAATAAAAGCGAAATAACGGCTTACACATGCAGTACAGTTTGTTGAAAAGAGTAAAAATGACTAGTTAAAGATCACCTCGACGTCATTAAAATGCATATTGAGCACGATACTGACGAAAGGACTTGAAGCTTCCGTCAGTTCGAGACGAGACACCACCTTTCTTCGGTGTATCAACTGTTTCTACGGCATCTCTGCCGAAGGACTACCCCTATTGGCTCACTATTTCCCAAAAACACCCATTTTTTCAATAAAAATAAAAAATCTGAAAAACCACCAGCATTAGTTACTCTGCATCGCAGGCATGATTAAGTAGGAGTAAGCTATTAATGGGCAATGGCTATAAGCAGGATAGGATGGTTTGGCCACACAGAGCCGAAGTATCGGCTTGACCCCAAACTCGTCACTGCTAACCTTTCCTTGAGCTACTAAAACAGCATCGCTGCCGAACAAGTACGGTACAATGAAAGGGGTCAGAAGGCCAGAACCGTACAATAGACTTTTCAAAATGCAGTCAGGTCAGTAGTAATACCTCAACAAATTTATGCAACAAATTGAAGCATGCCTGGATGTATTCAGCAGATATCCTCAGTATGAATTTTTTTACAAGCATCAACATAGCTCACACGGAGCAAAAATCACTCACAGTTCAAATAAAGCTAGTTCACAAGAATTTCGGATAATGGTACCACTTCCACAAGAAAACGGAGCGTCAGAGACAAAGCACCATTTCTAAGCACCAGCACTCCCTCCATGCTAGTAGGCCCAATCGGGATGCTAAAGTGTTCGAGAAGGGTCCTTCTTGGTAAATATATCGGAGTCATGGGTGGCAAGGATAGCTTCCGAACAGGAGGACTATAGCAGGCGACACACTTGATGCAAGTGTAAGCACGTTGGGAGAGAAAGGGTCTCCAGCGGGAAATCGGAATGCACGAATACTTGCGAGTTGAACGGTTGAAGATATGTTGTACCCATCATAAGGAGAGCGTTCTAAATTAGCATATTAGAAGAGATCTCCTTAGTGGTAAGCAAGTGGCTCGAATACCTGGTCTTCGGCGGTTTCACCATTGGCGGCCGCTCGCTCATTCAAACGCCGTTGAACCATCACAAGCAGTTCGGCATCGATATCCCTTTCCTCGAAGTCATCGGATGGAGCGTAGTGTTGGAGAATTGCAACCACCTAAACTAGAAGCTATAAGAATCCTCCATCAATCATAATACGCCCATGATCTGCTGAAGAGTTTTTGCAACACAGCAAGTCCGCAGTCGGCAGTAGGAGGTATCCCTCGATTCCTACCCATTTTACATAATCCCTTCGTATTTCCAGATTCACTCCCTTAACTCTATTTGCCTTAATTGCTGCTTAACTGTTAGAGATTTTCG